GTGGTAAAGCCAACTGTGGTTCATGCACATGCTGAGCTCTCTTCCCTCCTTGTGCCTGTTTTTACTCATTTACTTTTCTCTGCCCAGAATATTCCCCTCAACTTTAGAAATCCCCACCTATTAAAATCCTACTCCTGAAAGGCTCACTTCAAACACCAACACCTTTTCTAGGATGACTTCTTTACTACTTAAAGCCATAACAGCATAACAGCACATTTTTCCCTCTGATATAACACTTAATATATTTTTGTATTGCAATTACTTTAGTTTTTTGTGTCATTATCCTACTCAGCTTTAAAACTCCTTGAATGTAAAGACTGTGTGTTGTTTGTCTTTGTCCCCTCCAGAGTGAGAGCCAACACAAACCCTGCACATCTGTACTTAATACCTGTTAGCAGAATCATCTTTAGGATTCCTTCTTCTATTCATATTCTGTTTATCTAAAAAAGATCAATAGGACTTTGCATTTATTGTTTACATCTACCTTCCCCATCTTTCCATTTTATTGAAGTTTTGTCTTTTACTTTCTCCTGTTGTGTCCATGAAAAAAATATTTAAGGAGAAAGTTACTATTCAGTACAATAGCTTGCTTATTCTAATAACCCAAATCATCTTGGTTCAATGATTTGCTGGGGATAAAATGGGTCAGATGTTACTCTCCTAGAAATGAAAATCATAAACTAGGAAAGATACTTGTGAATGGCCACCTCCTTAGATTTATTACTCAAGCATTCATCAAAACATAGCATGCCCTGCAATTTCAAAGAAAAGATGACTTACATGAAAATTACAACTATTAGGTTATTTCCATTTGGAACAGTTTACAAAATGCTCCCCATTACTATAGTGATGATGCATCATTAGGTATAATTTGCTCATTAATAGGAGTAATTGATGTCACAATCACTTTGTAATGTTGATTATCAAGCTTTACTGTTTAGGATTTCAAATATAATTCAGAATAAACTTTACAGATTGCTATTATTTACTAAAAGGGATTTGCTAAATGTTGGCTTTTTCTAATATGTTCTTTAAAAAGATATATATTTTTAGGTAAAATATTCCTGTTTGCCTAAATTCCATACAAGATTCTTGATAACTTAAGTCTGACTTAACTTCCTAACCTCACTTCTTACAACTTCCTGCCTTATTCCTTTTACTCTAATTGGTAAATAAAACTTATAATTTTGTTTCTGAAAACACCATATTGTTCGCCATAATGTTTTTGCTTATCTTCTCCTTTTCCTCGGTTATCTCTTACTCAGTTCAGGTCTCATTTCCCATGGTTGGTCTACCTTGGAACCTTAGCCAATATGAACTGCCTTCATCTTTGCCTCCCTTGTCTTCCATTTAAGTACTCACTATCACTTCATATGTTTTATTGGAATTCTCTCTGCATTTGTCTTATATTCCCAATAAAACACAGACTTTGCAAGAGGAGAGCCATACTTGACTTTTTATCATTTCCCAAAAGGGTGCCCTTCTCCTCATAGGTCTTCTTATGTATGAAACTGTTCAAAAGCCCTTAAACTGATTTACAATACCACCTGTCATATTCATCTTTTGAGAGATAGCAAAACTGATGTGGTTACAACTTAATATAAATGACAGAATTTCACTATAAGAATGTCTAAATTTACAAAATATCTAAATATACAGGAAATATAATTTATGTTTCTTTCTATTGATGATATAATTTTCAGGTGCTAGTTTCTTTTAGTGACAAAACAGTACTTTTTATAAGTTTAATTTTGAGATAACTGTAGATTCACATCAGTTGTGAGAAATACAGAGAGATTCTGTATGCTGTTCCCTTAATTTCTCCAAGGAAGCTGTCCTTCAGTTGGCATTTAAGTTTACATCAAGGTATACACATAGAGAGCTATAAGTTATTACTCTAAAAATTGTCAAACAAAATTCTAGTGCTCTTTTCCAAAAATACTTGTATAGGCAAACTGGATCATGCTCACCAAAGAACAGAGAACACTGGAGAGATTCTTTATGAAAAATAGAGAAGTCTTCTGGACTTGAGGAGTTTCTCAGAAAATCACTCTCACATTCAAAGATATTTATAACAAAGGCAGTCATTGTCCATCACCCACAAGATTATCAAATTATGACTTACTAACATATGATGTATCCAAAAAATTATTTTCAGAATTTGAATGAACCTTACATCACCTACGTCTTCCCTCTTTCTATTTTGAAATATATAGAACCTTTCCAGGCGAGCTTTAACTAGTCATAGAGTGGGATAAGAGGTGAATCGATTGATGAATTTCTTGAATATTGAGTTCCTATTTTGTGCAAAGCAGAATGAAACCCACAGATTTCCAAGCTAAATATGCTCTACCATGTGCAATACACTCTCAAAAATAATCAGTCAAGGATTTAGTAATATTTACATCACAACACGTTTCCTCTTCCCAACTTAGTCTGTTATTATAGTTTAATCCCACTACTTCTCATTCACCTTAAAAAGTTTTTGCTAAGCCCTGACCGGCTTGGCTCAGTGGGTAGAGTGTCAGTCTGCGGACTGAAAGGTCCTAGGTTCGATTCTGGTCAAGGGCATGTACCTTCGTTGTGGGCACATCCCCAGTAGGGGGTGGGCAGGAGGCAGCTGATCGATGTTTCTCTCTCATCGATGTTTCTAACTCTCTATTCCTCTCTGTAAAAAATCAATAAAAAATATTTAAAAAAAAATTTTTTTGCTAAAATCATCCTTCATTACTTTTCATTCTAACAGTTTCCAGTTACAAAATCATACATACATAGGGAACACCTTGCAATTTACTGGCAGTGCTTACTTGCCTCTTGAACAGGCAAAGTAAATAGCAGCCTAAATATTTTGCCCAAGATTCCTAGCATCTGCCTTGCTCCATATCTTCTGCTTATGACATAAAGTCCATTAGATTTCTTTTTTTTAAAATCAGACACTGTCCTCTGTGGTATTCCTGTTAAACACTATTATCTTGATGAGTCATTTTGTCAGATGGTTTTCCAACAGGATTCCTGAAACAGGAAAGAGTGGGGAGATATGATATAGAGGCAAAATAGTCAGAGATTCTGAGTAAGATATTCTAAAAGCCAAGGTTCAAATGTTGGATACATCATTCCTGGCCTGTGTTGTTTAATGACCTTACATGTGAGTTATGTAACCTCAGTATCCTCCATTTTTTTCATCTGCAACTCAAAATAGCAATATCTCCTTATAGGATTGTTATGAGAACTAAAGAAATAAACTGCAAAAAAAGTATGTCTTACAATATGTAAATGAATGTGTGTGTGGGAGTTCATACCTTGAAGGCAACAACCAGCGTAAAGAAAATGGATGTTAAAAGTCTCCTTCACCTTTCATCATCTTTCCTTAGTTTGAGTTTGTCAATAAAAATCGATCTTACTCTATTAATGAGAGAATGCCGTGTCAGGCCAGACACTTCCTTTAGGATACCTCGACAGAATGGTCCCTGGCATGTAGTTCTGGCACAAGTCTCTCTGGTTATGCCAACTTTGCCTGGGGGAATGCAAGCATGTCTATTGACCTCCACATGGCTCATCAACGTGTGAAAGAAAGGGAGCCATTCATGTCTTGAAAACAAGCCACTCTTTCCCATTGGGAAGAGTATAAATACACAGTGTGTCAATGACATTCAGGATGGTGTCACTTATGCTAGGTAATATGTGATGAATAATAACATATGATCAACTTCCAGATTGTATGGGCTAAGTCCGTAGGAATTTGTGGGTTCTGTTCAGGAAGAAGTTCCAAAATCTAGAACTCTTAGAGGAAAACTTCCTCTAATAATAATTAAGAAGTCACTAAGCTCTAAACAAGTTTTAATTATTTAATATGTATCTCTGATTTAATCCTCACAACAAGAATATGAGGGAGCTGCTCTTATGTTGCCCATTTTACAAATGAAATTGAGATGCCAGGCAGTTCAGTGATGTCTGCTACAGTCATTGACCAGTAAATGCGAAGCCGGGATTCAGACCCCGCCACTCTGGGTCCAGAGGCATTTGATCATCACAGTGCAGCTTCCTACCCTGAGAAAGCTTTCCCAAGAGTCATAAAATAAGAAGTAAGTAGTGAGTACCCAAGGCCTACTTAACCTAAAATAGGTGGGCATTTTGAGTAGAATATCAAATGCCTTTTCTCTCGTTACCTAGAAACTTTTCAGAGAAAAGTATCTCTAGATGCACCAATCGAAACTTGTGTATTAGGGGATAAGGTCTCTTGTCTATCAGTTACTAATTCCCTTAGTTTTTCATTCTTTCCAGAAAACAAAACAAGACAAAACAAAAACAAACAATGAAAAAAACAACAACTGAAAACTTAATTTTTCCATTCTTTCCAGAAAAATAAAGAAAACTTTAAAAAATGCCGATGGATTTCCTCCCAAACCAGAGTAGTGACCCTGCTATGTTAAAGATAATGTGGGTGTGGGATTAGTCACTCTGTACCTCAAAATGTCAACACATTTACCGAAAATCAATTTATCAGTTAAATGTAGGCAAAAGATTTAGTTTATCTAAGTGTCCTACAAAGAAGAAATAGTTTACCACTGTTTTTACAGATTGAGGCAAATCTGACATATTACTGACATATGCTACAGATTTAATTTAATACCATAATACAGATGTGCGCTCTGATAAGTTTTTGTGAAATCTAGACTAAGATGAGTAGAGTTGTTTCAATATTTATGGGGTTGAAAATGCAGAGTTAGCAAAGGAAGCATTTTAATTAAAACAATATTTCCCCATATTCTCAGAGTAAAATACAGGGGAATTCTTTTAAAGAACTACTACCTGTTTTTATATAGCTTCTGGGTTTTCAGGCACATTTAAAGAAGCTGGCATTTTATTTCCAAGTTTTAAAAGAAATATTTTTGTTTTAGAACCATCAAAAATAAACTCAGTCATTTCTTCTCATTTTTCTTCCTCTCAACTGAATTTATGTGACTCCTTTAAGTGTAGCCTTTTGTAATTGTATGTTTCAGGTATCCTGAAGATAACTTCAGTTGAAATCGGAGTTGTTGCAGTCAAAGCCATTAACAGCAACTATTATTTAGCCATGAACAAGAGGGGGAAACTCTATGGCTCAGTAAGTATTCTGCTTTCATTTTCAAAATTCACTGCAGTAAATTACTACCACAGTTTTGGACTGTTTCCCGAAGACATGGAATAGCTTTGTTATCGTTCCATTGCTAGTAAATAGAGCCACAGTGGGCTGCTCAGCACAGTTTCAAGGGCTGGCAGGGTAGCTCTTCCAACTCTATAATCTCCTCTGTTGTTCGCCCATTAGCCTACCACACAGGCTGATGCTGGCGTCCGTCAGTCAATGTTCTGGATTGCTCACCAGTCAGACTCTCACGGAAGCATCTGGTCAAACTGGCATGGGCACTGCAGACAACTTAGAAAGGATCACTGAAAACAACAATCTTGAGTAGAAAACCGTATAATGTGTCTGTGTTAGAGCTGAAGATGGAACAGAGACTTGGGTGTTTTGTATTCTGTTAAAATCTGAAATGGGGAGACATATCAAAAAATGTATCATTTTGTGTGCCATGCAATCAACTCCAGAATTTTATCTACCCAGACAATAGTGATTAACTCCATTAAGGAGCTGGTATCCAGCCGGTGCTTTGGTTACATACATCCCTGTGTTCCATAGCCAGAATCAGGAAATATCACTTTAAAACGTGTCAATAAACTTCTTTTGTTGATGAACATCAGGATGGGAGTGCCAGTAGCTCTCAAACTTGAGCATGTGTTCAAATCACTGGGCTTATGAAAACACACTCCCAGATTTTCTGATTTAGTACATCTAGGTAGGATCTAAGAATTTGCCCTTCTAACAAGGTCCTGGGTGTTCCTGCTGCTACTGGTTTGGGAACCACAATTTGAGAATCATTGGAACTTGATTCCATAATTGGTCTGGGTATAGAACAGCCTTGTATTTCATTCCTATCAGGTCCACTTATAACTGGAGAGTCAGACATACGTTGGGTCGGTACCTTTGGCTGGGGTGGGGGGAGTCAGAGAAATTTTAGTTGAAAATTTCCAATATATGTTGCTCTACTAATGAGCCTAGAAGAGTAATAGAGTATTTTAGAAAGTGACTCTATTTAGAGGTTCACAACATACTCATCTTTGAGGCATTTTTTCTTCTTTTTTTTTCAATGAATGTGCCCAGGTCTCTCCTAAATCTACTATCACCAGATTTACTGGGTGAGAGGACCAAGTGTATGTATATTCTTTAAAGAGCTACTGATACGCACACTCAGCCAAAACCAATGCTTTAAAGTAAAGCCAGCTAATATGAGTTTAGATTGAGGGAGAAAATGTAAAATAATGTAATTGCAATAAAAGATTGAAATAATTTTTAATTGATAAAGTATACTTCTTTAAAAAGGTGACATCAAGGAGAAATGAGGAACTTGCAAATTAACTATGTCATAGAAGTATTAAATACTTGGTCTCTCATTGCCCCACATTTTTTTCTATCCCGACACAGCTCATGTGCTGTGCCTATGTTTCTTTCTGAGCTCTGAGGTCTATGAATTCATTCATTCTATCTCTATCTGAAATAGGTGTCCCATGCTTTCTATCACAGCACCCTTTTTAGTGACCTGCAATGGCTCTTATCATATATTTCTCTCATTAATGTATTTTTATTGATTTCAGAGAGAAAGGGAGAGAGAGAGAAAGAGAGAAATACCAGTGATGAGAGAGAGTCATTGATTGGCTGCCTCCTACATGCCCCACACTGGGGATTGAGCCCGCAACCCAGGCATGTAGCCTGACTGGGAATTGAGCCATGACCTCTTGGTTCATAGGTCAATGCTCAACCACTGAGCCACACCAGCTAGGCCAGGGGTGGGTAAACTTTTTGACTCGAGGGCCACAATGGGTTCTTAAACTGGACCGGAGGGCTGGAACAAAAGCATGGATGGAGTGTTTGTGTGAACTAATATAAATTCAAAGTAAACATCATTACATAAAAGGGTACGGTCTTTTTTTTTTTTTTTTTTTTTTAGTTTTATTCATTTCAAACGGGCCGGATCCGGCCCGCGGGCTGTAGTTTGCCCACAGCTGGGCTAGGCACATTAATGTGTTTTTGTTGACTGTCTTCTCCTAGTAGATTGTGAACTTTAAGAGGTCAGAGTCTGCTTTGTTCTCTACTATTTCCTCAGCACTTAGAACCATGCAGTCCACTGAGCTGTGTAATGCGTAAACCTAACTACCTCTCCAGTGAGCTCAGCTCATTACAATATAGGCTCTCCACTTCCAGCCAGTTTCAAAGAGAAACCCATTCTCTAACCATAGTGCATCATCTTGTGATTTGGCATTATCATTAGGAAGAGTGAAAAATGATGATTTGTTTAAATTAAATGAAAAATCTCCTCAAATTGGATGTCCTGTTCAGGATGGACAGGTCTGGGAACTTTGCTTCTAAAGGGTATGCCATCAAAATTCGTGAGCACACACCTAATATAATTCTGTATGTCAGGAGACAACCCTTATAATTTCCTGTCTTCATTTTTATTTTATTTTATAAGCTTTCTTAAAAATATCAGTTAGGCATCCAGAATCATTGATTAATCCAGCTCCATATTCTATTCTTTTGCATAGTTTCCTCCATTTCCTTGTGGGAAAAACTATACCTCTTATGTTTTCATTATTCATTTTTTGAATAATGCATCTATTGTGTTATTAGTTTTCTCTTGATTGACAGAATTAAGAGAATAAATTATAAAACTGAATTTAAACAGAAGAAGCCTTCAAAGGGCCTGATGTAAGGACCAAAGAAATGTACCTGGTATCCTAAAGAAATTCAAAACCTTTTTCTAAACTAAGACTCTACTTTGAGATCTTGCTCTAGCCTAGATTAAAAAACAAAACAAAACACGTTAACACTTACGATTTACCTAAATGCTATAAACAATAGATTCCTAGGGCCTCCTGTGGAGACTCTGATACAGCATGTGAGCTATGGTCTAAATATTTAAAAAAGTCTGAGATGAGGGGTCTGCTACAGGTGTACCTCACTTTAAGAAGCATTGTTGTATAAATTTTTTCTATACAACTCTGTTTCAAATATAAAATTATCTAAAATTTTCTCTATCCTCCCAGTGTCTAAACTGCACCCTGTTTAATGAAATGAATGTAATTATTCATGTAAAAAAATCATATCTGCTTTGAAAACCACATTTAAATATTACTTTATAGAAGAGAAGCACATAGGATAAATTAATTCCAGGTAACAAAGCTTAAACTAATCACATTAACATAAACTATACCTGTTTATGATGATTCTGCTAATGTTCACAATTATGATTTAACCCACATAAACCTGGATATTTAAGTATATACATGTTCAAGAATTATAAATTAAGTAGAAATTTCAAAAAGTACTGAGGTGAGAGAAACTATTTGAACTGACCAGTAGACCCGTCAACTGAGAGATGCCTACAATGCCATTGGTTTAGATGGAGAATGTAGAACTAGAAGAGCAAAAGTCCCAAGTTTTAACTTCTTGACTGTGTTAGTTTGGGTATAAGGAAAGAAGGACATTTTTGAAGCCAGAGTCTAGAAATTAGTGAGGCACCTCCCCTTCATTATTAACTCCAGAGTGAGATCCTGGATTTATGGAATGAATAAGACATCAATCCTTGTCCCAAAAGATCCCCCTAAAAACACATGGTCACTTGAAACAAAGCCAAAGCACTATAGCTATAGAGTGGAATTTCCCAAGATCAAAGTCTTCAGGGTTATACAACATTGCCAGTGCTAGTCACCATATTTATAATTTCTTTGATATGGTAATTCACAAAGAAAGGCCTTCCCCCTCCTACTTTTCCATCATTCCTAGATCTCAGAATAAAACCTATCAAAATTCCAAATTATGGACAATTGTAATTTTACAAAAGTGAGAAATCTGGTGTTTAGAAGAGAGAAAAACACTCATTTCTCTCCGGGCCGCATGGTTATCTAGAAATATTAATCCGCTTTCTCATCAATGTGGGTGTGTTTATTGTGGATTTATAAGTAGATAAAGTTTAAACACTTGAAAAACCTACCTTTTTCTTATAATTCAATTTTACCCATGAGGCACCCTAGTCATTACTCTGGGGGCGGGGGGGTTGATAACACTATTTTTGATCATTGACTCATCACAAATATTGTTAGTGGAATGTTTCATCATTCTAGGTACTTAAACCACATCATATTCAAGGCATGCCAGCTTTGTAAAAGGGCCTCAGTATGAGTCTATGATGATCAATTAAAGTAAATAACCTGTCTTCACACATAGCATCTGCTTTGTAGTTATGAGTTATTAGTTTTACCCTCTGCTGTTGAATTTGTGTTATTAAGTGCACACCTTGCATACAAATGTCAACAGCACACAAACCCCAGAACTGGGGTTCTACAGCTGGCTCCAGTCCAATGGAACCAAGTATCATTAACATAAGAATAAGAGATTTTGGTTTTTACTTTGCAGAAAGAATTCAACAATGACTGTAAGCTGAAGGAGAGGATAGAGGAAAATGGATACAACACCTATGCATCCTTCAACTGGCAGCACAATGGGAGACAGATGTACGTGGCCTTGAATGGAAAAGGAGCTCCCAGGAGAGGACAGAAAACTCGAAGGAAAAACACCTCCGCTCATTTCCTCCCAATGGTGGTGCACTCATAGGAGCAGCCAGGGCTTGTGGGTGCAGTGGAACCAAAGGCTCTTTGGCCAGGAAGAGTGGGTATTCTTCATGAACACAGTAGCTCAAAAGGCAAAGACGCATGGCAGGCGTCTGCTTGCTTGAAAGAAAGGAAGTCTTTAAAGGCTTTTGTACACACTGCTGATGTATGATGTTCCTTTCATTAGTTCTGTGTCATGCCTTATAATCCAGATAGAGGCGGATCAAATGGAATAGAAGTTACTCCGAAACGAACAACATTGTGGCTGGGTTTCTTGGTTAAGTTTTTGTTTATGTTTGTTTTTGTTTGTTTTTTTTTTAACCTCTGAGATAGAACTTAAAGGACATGGAACAATCTGTTGAATGATCTTCAGAAAAGTTATTTATGGAATATGAACTCATGTCAAAGACTTTCGTGGCTCATTCCAGCCGAGTGATTCAATGAGCAGTAAGACACGCAAGCATTTACTGGAAAGCACTTGGGTCATGTTCTGTGCACAACCAAAGGAGCTTTGGGCGTGGCATCGTGGAGCATTGGATAGGATTAAAAGATGTACACATGTTAGTGTAAAACTGTTCTAACCAAGCAAATAGTATGGTATGCTTGTGCATTCTGCCTTCATCCCTTTCTATTTCCTTCTAAGTTATTTATTTAATAGGATGTTAAATATCTTTCGGGGTTTTAAAGAGTGTCCTCAGCAGCTGCCCTCTGACTGGCCTTTGCTTTTTCTTCAGCACACCACAGGCACGTTCACGACAAAGTGATTTCAGAACTTGGCAAACACTTCAAGAGTAGGAGATGACATTGTGAGTGCCCGGGGGCGATCCGTTGACTTAGTCTGCACTTCTGCAATGAGAACTGTCAACCTCCCACACGACAGTGCTGGGGGCATGGCTTGAGTGACAGATGTCTGCCATCATTTAAAAACATGTATCACTGCTAAGGCTTTCTTTCCTAAGAAACAGACCAGAAGGCTAAATGTTTCCCTTCCAATACATCCATGGGTCTCCAGGAATATATAAAAGCAGGAAAATTGGTTGTTAAATACACCTTAGTAGCCTAGCCTCATTTTTTACTAACGATTGTCTGCCACCTGTAGCAGTGGTAGGTGACGACGAGGCTGTCTTCGTATGTAAGTACCCTTTATAAGTCCCCCTTGTGCATCTCCCTCAAAGGCACTCTCGAGGAATTTGGTACGAAGTGCAACTCTCCCAGGGCCTTAATCTGAGCAAAGATATCCTGGTATATGTGTAACCATATGCTGAACAACCTGTTCAAGCTGTATGATCTAGTCTCTACAAAACCAAATAAAACATCTTTTCTGTAAATTCAAAGAGCTTTGGAAGGTTCCATAATGTAACCATATCGAAATTCATTCTGTTAGAGCAGGTATAGAAAACAGGACGTAAGAGTGTACCGGTCAACACACATTGTACTCCACTAAATAAATACTTAAGCCTTATTTGCAGTGTCTGTAGTGATTTTAAAAATGTAGAAAAAGACTATTTGTTCTAACTATTTCAAGTGATATATATATATGAGTATATTGATGCTGCAATTTTACCTTCATACTTCTTGTTTTAAAAAGGCCTGTTTATTGTTTGGACATGGTATTTTGGTACAAGAAAAAGACTCACTAAATGTGTCTCTTTACTAAAGTTTAACTTCTAGAAAGGCTGGTGTTTTGTGACTTTTTCTTATACCTTAATTGTGTCAATGTTTAACCAGCACTTCCAGTTAATCTGTTATTTAACAATTAGCTTTATTAAGAAACTTTCCCATAAAGTAATCCTATAAAAGATCTCATTTTTTCTCATTTTTTTAAAAAAAGTTGGTATTTCAAAAGAAATGCATTTGAGACAGTGAATAGGCTTATGGCTAACATTGCCTTTCGTGGTACCTGCCTTCCAACTTGCTTTTTAACAAATGAGATACTAAAAAAATGTTTAATCTTTGTGGTTGGAATCTATATGTTAACATTTAATTGGTAACTGAGTCTGCAAGCTGTAGTGTAATGCATTCCTATCAGAACTAGATTATCTTGGTTCTTTTATTTTAAAATAATAATTGCACCTGACATATGAAGATGGACCACCCACAACCCAAATTAAACGTTTGATGAGACAAATACAGTATTAGATGACCACGGTAAGAGCAAATAGGGCACAAACCGGATTCGTGTTTCACACAGCCGTTTAGATTACCAAGGAGACCGTGTAAGCAGTCATCATTATAGTACTCAAAACACTAAAACAGCTTCCAGCAAAATGTATCAAAGCTGGCAGAAGCCACTTTTCTTTCCCCCCCATATCCCCCCGCCGCCCGCGCTCGCGCGCCCACACACACACACACACACACACACACACAAGCACAGAAAGTCAGATAAGGAGAAATGAGATTCTCCTGCATTTAAAAATGGCATGTTTGCTCGATATGGAGACAGAATACTGGCCCCATTTGCAGCTGGATTGTGCTACTGAAGGAAAAGCAGTTCCAGCCCTGAATATTGTATATATTTTAAAAAGCATCATTATTTCAGGAGCTCTGCCTCTATAGGAATCTTGCTCCCCCACACACCCCACCACAATGTCAAGGTACATCAGCCACAAATTCGTGTCCATCGGAGTGCTGGCCCTGGGGAGACTCCTCGTGACAATATAGAATCCCCCCTCCTCCCACCTTCCGAAAGGCTGCACAGTGTATAGCATGTTTCATTTAAGTAAACTAATAAAAATGCTGGGAAAAGAAAATTAAAATAGTGTCCTTGTTTATTTTATTAGCCTAAAACGATACCTGGTAATACAGAGAGAAGCTTGAGTGTGCCTGGCAGGAAGTGGTTAAATGCCCCACAGCCTCCAACAACAACAACAACAGAAAAAACATCACTCAAACATTTGTAAGATTTCTTTAATGTTTTACATGTGTGAGTCAGCTATCCTTCCTCTAATAACAACCAAATGCGTTCGACTTCTCCTGAGTACGCAGGTCCACCTATTTACACAGTGGACCGGGAAGGATGAATTGAAAATAAGGATGGCTTGTGAAACAATGAGACTTTTGGAGAAAAGCCAAGAGGCTGCAAAATCTGATTTCAAGGGCATAGAGTAGGCCCATGAACTTGATTTGAAAAGTAGAGAGAGAAAAGAATTCAACATAATAACTTGGATCCAGGGCCCAAGCAAGGTTACAGACACTATTTAAATTGATAAACATTCATGCTGCACAGATCTAATAATTTTGATGTTGTTAATTCAGGGTTTAGGCCTATTCACAAAAGTAAATTTCATCTTTTCTTTGTCAATGAAGTCCAAACTTTTTGTAAATAAAGATGCCTGTAGGAAGCCATGACATATTTAAGGGAAGATATCCAGTAGAAGTAGCCCATTTACATGCAAATATCACATTCATTAAGAATTCCTGTCTATTTCACTAGATAGGACTTCTGCAACTTAAACTAAGCAGTAAGAAAAAAGAGGGATGTTTGGGAGGAATACTGGAAAGAAAGGGCAGCTCTGTGTTCCACCTGCACTGGACATGAAGCAGCTACGATTTGCTCCCTATGGCTCTCATGTCCTCTGATCTCTGACTGGCTTTATGTTCTCAGCTATTCCTTGCATCCAATTTACTTCCTTCCAACTCCAAAACCCAAGACCTTCTTCTCAAGATCCTACAATGGAAACAGCCTAGGTATGACTTGTATCGGCCAAGTCTAAATAACATACCAACCTCTAGAGCAGTGGTTCTCAACCTTCTGGCCCTTTAAATACAGTTCCTCATGTTGTGACCCAACCATAAAATTATTTTTGTTGCTACTTCATAACTGTAATGTTGCTACTGTTATGAATCGTAATGTAAATATCTGATATGCAGGATGGTCTTAGGCGACCCCTGTGAAAGGGTCATTCGACCACCAAAGGGGTCGCGACCCACAGGTTGAGAACCGCTGCTCTAGAGTCATCTGTATGACAAGGGATGCGGGCATTGTGATGGACCAAGTTTCAGTCACATGACCAGAGTTGCCGAGGTATGGATTTTGCACCCCACACGACAGGAACTAAGGAAAAGCAGTGCACCAAAGGGCAGTGCTGGGCAGGGCAAAAGCAAAAATGGTTCTTAGCTACATCTATTTAAATGAGACTACTGACTTAAACATGCATCTTCTAATCTCGCATTTTTTCACGAATTCTAATTAGCCTTCACCTATTTATTCAAATCAGAGATTTCAAGATCTTATTCTATATTGCAATTTTTAAAAGGGAAAGATTGTATTTGTCTTGTCTTATTTTGTTTTGTTTTAAAGTCAAGAGTAGGGCCCTGACTATAGCCAGGCTCAGTGTAATTCTGCAAACTTTAGAGAATGATCATTGAGATGAATGCAAGTTTTCATGAAATCAAAAGGTGGTCCTCCTACCAAATATTAGCCTATATCGCAACATGACGTAATAAGTCTTTCTTTAAGTTTATCCAAGAGTATGTACTAGTATTTTCAAGTATATCAACATGTAGAATAAAATTTAAAAATGAAATGCCGTTTGTTTTTTTCATTGTAAAATAAAAAAGAAATAAAGTGAAAAAGCCTCCTTTATATCTCTTACTATGTCTTGTGTACAATGGATGAGACAACAAAAAACTTCATAATGTGCATTTTTCTTTTCCTTTGCTGATTTAAAAATAAAACACAAAGATGCCCTTATAAGTGCATATCCACTAAGAACACCTTTGTGAACAATATGCATTTGTTAACATGGAATAATCATGAGCAAACTAAGGAGATCAGAGGCATTGATCTCATTCCTAAGTGGGTAATAGTGAACATTTCCATTTGTCTTTTCCTTGATAGCAGCTAAGGACAAGAGTTCTAGACCCAAAGAGAAAAGTCACATGCCAACCATCTATTCACGTGGCGTGGATTATCTTGCATATTTTATTATCCTCCACAAAAGAGTCTCTGTTCCTGTTTTAATATAGGCCATTGCATCCTCTGGAGATGAGCGCAGCAAATGAAGAATCAAACCATCCTGTGTTCCTCATTACAACTGTAATTGAACATATGCCTTCGTACAACTTCAGCGGTGACCCCCACTGCAGAATCGCCAATTGCAGTCAAGCTCACCGTCCTGAAGTTTGGTTTTAATTACCTTGCACACGTCTTCAGTGCCTAAATGATCGCACAATTTTCTAAATTATTTCGTTATCATTTCTGTGGTCAATTTCAGCTGCTGACAATGCAAATATTCTCAGAGGCCTTCCAAGGAGAGTAAATGAAAATCCATGTTTTATGAGGTGCTAGCAATCAAAAAAGACTGCTTCTTACGGTTAGAGGAAGCATTCGGGTTAGGGGTCATTTATCAATTCAATTCAACATTAAAAATATTTTAACATCTGGCATTTAAACACTAGACTTTTCAATCGCCTTTTTTTTTCAGTGAAGTGATCAATACGCTCTGACATCAATGGTATTTAAGCCATATAAAAATAAATGATACAAGAAAATATGTTTGGGAGGATCTTTCCTACTAAGAAAAAACAAAAGAGAAACACACTGAAAAATGGCATCACAGATAAGGAAACAATATCTTATTTGTTTTCCTGATAAATTGAATATTGGATATAAAGTGTGGTTTTACAATTCAGGGAAAAAGAAGCTAAATAGTATACTTTTTAGTTTCAAGCAGGAAAAAAGAAACTAGTATGTGTGTGTTTTTAAATAGTATTTTTAAGTCAGTATTGGCAACCAATCCTCCTTATCTTCCCCAGGAGAATTCTGCATTCCATCCTCCAAGATCTCCTAAGAAATAGTCAAATCAGCATATTTCAACTGCAACAGTTTATCTTTCTCTTTCTCCTCATTTTTAACTCCAGGTGATATTAACTAGCTATGTGAAAGTTATTTCCTCATTAAACGCACAAGGAAAAGATAGATTTTATTTAGACCAATACCTAATTGAGCTACTTCAAATGAATAAAAGACTCCACAGTAATGTAGGCAGAGATTGTTGGAGGCAATTAATTAATATTGGGTACCTGGAATTATTGTTACAGTCTCCTGGCTATGTTTTTTTTATCATGTTTCTCTCCATATATATAAATATTCCATAGTGATAAAATTCATGGTTTCTGATCATTTAAGTTATTCATTCCTACTATTGGGAAAAAATTAAATACAATATTCAAACATAGGGCCTGTTGTGGGTTGCAGTCCTGACCCCCGTCATTCATGGCAGTTTACACGAGAGAGAGGTAACTGGAGCCACATGGATTTATAATATAACTCCCATCTTTTAGTCTTCATTTCCCAGTATAATTGCAGAATCAACTTTTGAATCCAAATACATTACTGAATTCCTATGATCCTACTGTGTAAAACCACAAGACAGGTGAATAAGGATCCCCTTCTCCCAAAACTTTAGTAAATCCATTTTTTTTATTATACAGTTCTTTTGTAAACAGACATATTTGCCAAACATTCTGTCTTACTTTGTTTATTCCTTCTCTGGTCATTTACCAGTAAAGCAAATAAGATCCAGGATTCCCTATTTGTTACCATATCAGCTTCCCTCTTCTTTTCTACACCAGACAGTTAAACAATCAAGGAGTCGCCAAGCTGGCATGGCTCAATGGTTGAGCGTCGTCCATGAACCAGGAAGTCACAGTTCAATTCTAGATTCGGCCATATGCTTGGGTTGTGGGCTCAATCCCCAGTAGGGGGCATGCAGGAGGCAGTTGATCAATGAGTCTCTCATCATTGATGTTTCTAACTCTCTCTCCCTCTCTCTTCCTCTCTGAAATCAATAAAAAATAAAATAAGCAAGGAGTCAGCAGGCCTTCAACAAAACAAAATTCCTCTGGGGGAACCCCCTGCAAAATCAATGCTGCATGTAACCACAGAAGCATTCAGCCTTCAACATATCTCAGGTTGGTTCTGGGACATAACATAGTTCTTTCACCAGAAACCTTGTTCAAGATTTGTCTCTTATATCAAATGCATTAAATTATCTAAAATGTTGATCTCTATCATTCTAATTTTATATCCTAATTTTATGAATGATAAAATTGAGGTCCATTTTCTTTCCCAGAGCTCTTTGCCAGGTAATGAATGCAGGTCTCCTAATCCCAGAATCACTCTTCACACTCTACCAAAAAAAATAGAACTACACCATGCATAGCCCAATATTTTTCAATTTTTCAGAAATGTAACTCTACAGTTAATGACAGTATTTTATTTTAATGACACATTTCTCTTTATGGATACTTTTCTTGGAAGAATCTATATATATATAGATATATATAT